TTTCCAGATGGCTCTTCAAAGGCCCTTAGTGTATGCTTATCCCTGCACATGTTCCTCTGTTACCCTGTTCTTCTACCCCTGACCCCATTTAATCCTTCCTATTCCTCTATTCCCGTCTCCTCTCCATACCACCTGTGTTCTTTCCTAACCTGTGAACAGAAAGTGAAGGACACATTAGCAATACTCTTGCTGAGGAGTGCCATTAAAAAACATAAACTTTTGGTCAGCCCAGAGTTCTCTTTTGTTCACATAGCTAATATTATAATGCAGAATAATATTCAATGTATGTTGTAATCCCACACTTCAGTAGACATGCTGAAAATGTGTCGGAATTTAAATATAAGCAGGAAAGGTTGGGGAGAATTATAGCTTTGTTGAAGTCTCCAGAGATGGAGCAGTGGATCAAGTACTTGCTACATAAGTGTGAGGATCCAAGTGCAGATTCTGAGCTCAGGTAAAATGACAGGCATGATAATATATGCTTTTATCCCCAATACATGCAGTGAGGTGAGTCTGATCATGATGACTTGACTAGCCAGCCAAGATAATCATTAAAAGACCATCCTTAAAGAAGGTGGAAAATGATAGTAGAAGATAATCAATGTTTACTTCTGGTCTTTATAGGCACATGTACATGTATAACACACATACATACACAAATACATGATACTGCTGCTGCTGCTACTTCTAAAATAATAATAATAATAATAATAATAATAATAATAATAATAATAATAATAATTGGATAACAATTGGGTCAAAATCAAAAACCTTTATCATTTTATTTTACCAACTTATCAATATGCATATATATATGCAAATGGCAACTTGCCTCTGCTCAGAGGACCAGGAAAAATGTCCCTGCATTCCAACCATAGGTGCCAGTCCATTACAAGTTTTCCTCAACTCTGGCTTAGACTAAATCTATTCATGGCCCATCAACCCAAATAATGAGTTTCTGTGACTTTTCACTCACCCTAGGAAGAATAAAATATTAAAGAGAGTGGGTTTCTTTTCTTTATCTTCTGGCAAAACTGTGGTAGAGAGAAATGTGTATTTTCTTTCATTCATACATGGGGCCATCCTACAATTTATAACAGCTGGTAAGACACAGTCTACATCATATCTAAGTATGACTGTGAGTCAGACTAATTGCTCCCTTCCTGAGAATTAGGCAACATGGTCTCTGATTGTCCTTGTTGTCTACTGCAGACACCTTGTTCATGGGATCTTTAATGTGCCAGAGTTCTTCCACTTAGACATAGATAATGGGAGCTTCTTATCTTTTTTGGATCTCAGGTTTAGATTCTAACTGCTACATATCTTTTAAAGACATTAAAATGTGTAAGCTGAGTTGTGAGTGTCTTGCTTCTACTTCCACCAACTGCTGGAATAAGGCTATAAGGTGGCATATGAATTAGTCATCAATCTCATTGTCAGGGGAGGGCATTTAAGGTAGCCTCTCCTCTGTTGCTTACATTGTTAGTTGGTGTCATCTTTGGAACTCTCCAGACATTTCCCTAGTGCCTGATTTCTCTTTGAACTGATGTCTCCTTCTATTATATTATCTCTTATCTTGCTCTCTTCTGTTCTTCCCCTAACTCAACCTTCCTGTCCCATCATGTCTTCCTTACCCTCCTCTTCTCCCCTTCCCATTCTCTTAGTTCTGTCTCCCCTCCCCCCATGCTCCCAATTTGCTCAGGAGATCTTGTCCCTTTTCCCTTCTCCAGGGGACCATGTATGTCTCTCTTAGGGTCCTCCTTATTTACCAGCCTGTCTGGAAGCCTGACACCTACAGCTAAACCTCGAACTGAACAGAAATCCATATGCAGAGAAGAAGGACTGATGATCAAAGGGTCCATATCAGGCTGGTGAAACCCACAGAAACAGCTGACCTGAACAAGGCAAAAATCATGGTCCCCAAACTGATAGCTGGGAAACCAGCATGGGACTGAGCCAGACCCCCTGAATGTGAGTGTCAGTAAGGAGACCTTGGCAATCTATGGGACCCTTTGTAGTGGATCATTATTTATCGAAACCATAGGAATGGACTTTAGGAACCCATCCCACATAGAGGAATACTCCCTGAGCCTAGGGGGGATTGACCTAGGCCCTATTCCAAATAATATGACAGACTATGAAGACCCCCCCTATGGAAGGCCTCACCCTCCCTTGGGAGCAGAAAAGGTATGGGATAGGTAGTGCGTTAGTTGGAGGGGGGCAGGGGAGGAGTGGAGGGAGAGGGACCTGGGATTGACATGTAAAATAATTTTCTTTGTAATAAAAAGAAAGGGAAAAATGTGTAAATTGAAAAACTAAAGGTGACAGCCTGGTAGACAAAGGGCAGGGCATACTGTCTGCTTTCAGAATATATCCTCTTCAATTAAAAGTCAACAAACGGAAGAATGATACAGTAGGGGGCCACTGGCATATATGAGTTCTAAAATGGTAAAGATGGGTTGAGAAAAGAAAAAGACTGACAAAGGGGAATCAATAGAAGATAAATGGTGCAGGTTTCCCTTTGGAGTCTAGCTAGTGCTAGGGTGGACAGTTATCTCTGCATCAACTGTTCTGTGAACTTTTCTTCCTTGAAATAATTACACTGAAAAATGAATGAACCATTGGATATAAGCTTTGTACCACATTTGTGGAGTTTTGTCTGTTGGTATAGTCTAAGACAATCTCACATAATGTGAGAGGTTAAAATTTTTCATTCTTTCATTGAGTCCTTTCCACACATAGCTTTGGTGAATAGTCCACAGACAGAGCATGTCATAAGTCATAAGGAAGCTAGAGGAACACTGGCTTTAGTGGAGTTGAATGGGCTCTGACCCTTCTTGTAGCCTTACTGGAATAAGCACCAACTCGACTGTTTCCACCTAGTCAGACTAGTAGCCAATGCAACATACAAGGATGAGGAAACAGAGGCTCAGGCAAAACTATGACAGAGAATAGACAATTAATAAATCAACATCTCCCATCCAAGCTGAACTCTTCAATTTGTTCTCTAAGAAAAGAGTTGATACATGTTTGAGTCCTATTTTGTACTGTATTAGAACTTGTGAACTTTTATTATCCCTACAGATGTTGAATCCCCATGACAATTTGCATTTTCTTGTATCTAGCATCTAGCCACCATCTGTAAATTCTATATTGCTTACTGTTCCAACTTCTATATTGCTTACTGTTTTGGAAATGCATGTGAGGAACAATGAAATCAGGAGTTAAAGAATTTGTAAAGCACCCAGCATGCACGGGAAAAGCATCAAGTCATAAGTTTATTGTGTAAAATTTCAGTATCTGGGGTCAGTTTCTTTCTTAAGATTAACTGGAAGGGGAGGCACATGAAGCCCATAACCCACTCATGCTGTTGGCACTCTTGTTGACTGCACACCATAACTAGATACTTAGACCACACTGCTTAACAAACTACATGGTCTGATTTCTGTTTTTTCATTTTATTTTTCTTTTTATTTAAATTAAAATCTTATTTTACATACCAATTTCAATCTGATTTCATGACATAAAACATAATTAGTCTTAGAGTGATCTAGTGATACTGATTTACTCCCATATTTTAAAAATGCAGTATTAAAGTTGTTTCAGGAGGACTATCAGTATAGTTACTAATGATGCATATGTTAAAGTTGTCATCAAGCCTGGAAACTGTGTCAAGCTGGTAAACAGTGGAATAACAGTTATGGTTTTAATGAATCACTCTCTGATATGATTTAAGACCAACCTGGCAAGAGGAAACTTGTGTTTTGCATTCTCAATGAATGCAAAAACATGTACCCAAGAAAATATAGGCCCCCAACAATGCTACTCTAATTAGTTTTGAGTAATGGACATAACATGCCTGTCAATGTGCCTTGAAAATATTTAGTTTTCATCCTGTAGATTACTTAAACTGTCATTGAATTTGTGGAAACATGTTAAAATGTCTGCTGATTTCTGGAAACAGATTGATGGTTAAAATGCCAAGAACATTTGACTGACTATGACTGTGACATGGTGGCTCAATATGGGAAAAGAATCACATGCATTTATGACCTTCTAAAAACCTAGATAATGTTGCAGAAGACGTGACAGAGACAACATATGAACTAAGGGAAATGTATCAAGGAGTAAGTATGCTTTTTCTGCCAGACAAGAATATGAGTCATTGCAGGGCAAAGATAATTTTGATGACTGACAAGATAATTTGAACGGTAGAGATACTATGGCCACAAACAAAACAATATTTGGAGAGGAAGGGAGTGGTAATTTTAAAGTGGATATAGATGCTCCTTGAAGAGTAGGGAATGACACCCTCACCTAAATATTGCTTAACTTTGCCTCTCAGCTGCGCTTGTCCATGGGGGCTGCTGTTTGTATATATATAGGAAGTAGGAGTTCAGTCAAGGCAGAACTTTGGTGAAGCTGCTTTCTGGAGTTGCTGAGGATACTAAGAAGCAACTTCTTAGGGATGCAGGCACATTTGAATCAACCATGTTCCTGTAAGTAGCTCTTTAATCATATTTCTCTTGGTACGCTTTATAGGTGCATTATTTTATCACGATGGTTTTGAATAGAACTCATGATCTTTGGTGTCATTGTTCTGGTATAAATTGAAATTTATTTTATGTCTCATATGTAGATACCAAACACAAAAAAAAACAGAGGAGTAACTTTCTAGCATGTAATTTCACAATAATCTTTAAGGACAGTGATCTTTTTAGAACTCTCCCTGTTATCAAGAAACATGACAATGTCCCAAGACATTTTATAAGGTCTTGATTAACATGAGGCTAAAAGGGGGGAATTTCTACAAATATCTCATGAGAAATGCTGTTGAACACCTTCCCAAACAAGATATCACTCAACTAAAAATGACTAGCTTCCTAAATTGAGAAATCAGACTTTACTGAGAACACAAGATTCAATTATGCAATTGTCTCGACTGCAGAAGGTAGAAGCTATGTTTTGATTTCTGGGTCTCTTACATCTTTTTGGTCACTTGAATGAACCTGAATAAATTTTCAGTTATGAAGTTTAATGCAGGTAATGACAGAAGATTTGTGTCTTTAACCAATTAAGCACAAGTCAAGTCTTGTAGCAACAAGAGAATCAAGCTTGTGTTACCAATTTACCTTTTCTTGTAGGTTGTATTTTCATGAAAACATGAATTGATGACAGCCAAAATTTATTTTATAAAATGGAGAACAGAATTATTTGCTTTTACTTAATCTTATACTGTAAACACCTATAAAAAGCCTGTTATATGAAGTAAACTGTTTTTTTTAATTTTGAAATTATATTTAAAATATTTCTTCCTTCATATTAGTCCCTCCAACCCTCTCTTACACTCCTCTTGCTCTCTTTGAAATTTTTGGGCTCTTATTTTCATTAGTTGCAATTACATGCAAAGTAAGTGTGTATATACATATATATTCCTAAATATAACCTGTTCAGTCTGTATAATGTTACTTCTATATATGTTTTCAGGGCTTACCATTTGGTATTGGATAACCATTTGGTGTGATTTTCTCTGGTGAATATTAATTTTTCTACTACTTTGAACATTTGTGACGCTCCTAAAATTTTTATAAAACACAAAGTACATTTTGTAGGAAGTCAAGTTTCATACAACCTTTCACAAATGTAGCAAACATGTATCTAGCATATAACTAAGCCAATGCTAGTGACTTGTGCTTGGAAAAAGTACTTGAACATCAATAGTCTAAATCCTGAAATATTAAAAAATTTGTGTAATATGTCATGTAAGTAAACAATATTTTAGATACTTTAGATACAGAATGAAAACAATGGTTAGTGTTTTCATATATATATATATATATATATATATATATATATATATATA